TCAAATATTTTCAGAGGTCTTTTCTTTACATCATCGATGTTTGATGGGATTACTACTGTTTTGTTTCTTAATTCTGCTAGTTTCTTAGGATCGTAATTATTCTAGTTATCTAATTTATATTCCAATTCATCTATTTTATTATTAGCGGACTCTAGTTTACAGTCAGTCATAATTAATTGTTCAAGGAATAAATTAGCTGTTTTTCTTGCAATATATTTATCTACAACTTCTTGTTTGAAACCAACTATTTTTGCTCCATCTTCTAATCTGTCTATTTCCATAATAATAGGTTTTAAATCTTTTTTCCATTTTTCTTTCTCGATATTAGGAATGTATGAAACTAGTTTATCCATTTATGACTGAAAAGTTTCTAAAGATTTACTAATTAATTCATCTGCTTCTTCATCTAAACCTATATTTTTACGACTACCTGGTTTATGTTCTACATTATCGAATATTTTTTTATTTTTTGTTTTACTTTTTCTCTCTTTTGTTCCCAATTGTTCCGATTTGTTCTCTTTTGTTCCGGATTGTTCTGGTTTGTTCCCATTTCTTCTCATTTTACATGCAATCTTAATTCCAACGGATTTTAGCCCCATATTGAGGGAATTTCTGGAAATAGACTTTTTTACGTTCTACTATTGAAAATAATTTCGGAATCCCTACATTCCATAACGGTCGTGGAGAAAAGTTAATTATATGTATGTCTGGATTTTTTTTGAAAATCCTCAACGCCTGAAAAAAGTCCTATGTTTGTGGTATTATGCGGTTGTATCTGCATGACTAGATATTCTCGTTTTTGTGTGTTTTGTGAAGTTGTGTTGTATTGTTTCTAGGAACGAAACATTTATTTTAAGTTTCTTTTGAAGGGTGAAATTGCCTTTTTTTACTAAAATGCTTTCTTTCAGGGGGTAAATTAAATTCCATTCTATTAATTATTATCATTTAGTTTTTTTATAATAAAAAGTGGATTAAGAAACAAAAAGATTCAAAATGTTAGGATATTGGTTAATAAAACAAAACTAAATTTCATTAAAACACTAACTTCACTTTAACAAATCTAATTTTCTCCATACAACTAACCTTCTTAATTTCTCTTATGTAGTACATCATGGTTTACTAAAAAGTATGAAATCTATCTTCTAGGTTAAAATGAAGAAACTGAGTGATATAAGTGAAATAGAAAAAACCAGTGAAGAAAACTATCAGTTTGAGGTTTTATTGGCGCAGCTAAAAACAGCGGGTTTGCGGTGGGAGGACGTGGACCAAAGTGTCCGACTATTAGCCGATAAACGCAACATCCTGAGCCAATAAAACTAGCAACTATTCAAAACACAATAAACACCATCATCCATCAGGATATTTTTAAAACTTTACCAGGATCTTCGAAAATGGCAATTTTCATAATAAAATTAACTGATGCAATTTTGGTTCTTCTGGATTCATCGTCATTTAAAAATTAAAACACAACCCATTTTTTAAATGTATTGCTTGTTTTCAAAAAAATACTAATTTCATAATTATTGTTTCATAATTTCCTCTAAATTTTGGTTCTTCTGGATTCATCGTCATTAAAAAATCAAAACAACCCATCTTTTAACATGTTGCTTGTTTTTAAAAAAACCTAATTTCATAATTATTGTTTCATAATTTCGCCTAAATAGATCTATAAGAATACTACCATAGATCTCTTTCCACATGTATGTGTATAATTTTTTAAATAAATTTAGTTTGCATTTTTATACTATGTATTTTTTTACAGTTTACTTTTAATAAGCACTATGGTGTTTATTTCATTTCGGTGTGATAGATACAATCATACCTATAAACGGTATAACTATTAGGCCGATTTCCTTCAAATAAAGACCATTCTAAAGGGATGGACTTACCCTTTAGAATGATCAATTTGAAATTGAATATTGGCAAACTTTTCTTCGAACAGTGTTCGAAGAAGTTTGAAGTAAATCGAAGTAATCTAAGAAAAACCCTACGAGTAATTTTTTTCTTCGTCACCATCATGTAGAGCATCTTTTTATTAGTAAGAATTCAAATTTTTAAAATAATATACCAAGTAGTTTTTAAGATATGATTTTTTGAAGTTAAGGTAAAGTAGTTTTAAAGGTTTTTTCGTGTGCCCAATTTTTGGTGGTCTACAGATATTTGGTACTTTTGGGGTGCATAAAAATTAATGCTTTCTGAAGGGTTTTAGATCTTTTTCGGATGTTTACCTTTGGGAGAACAGCTGAATTTGTAAGATTCTGCCTTGTTTTTTGAAGACGCCAAATGTCCTGGTCCAGAAATAAAAAGCCATTTTGGGGTGTTCAAAAACAAGACATTTTGTTAATTTTTTAGATCATTTTCGAATGTTTACTTTTGGGAAAACACTAAATTTGTAGGATTCTGCCTTGATTTTTAAGACGCAAAATGTCCTGGTCCAGAAGTAAAAAGCCGTTTTGGGGTGTGTAAAAACAAGGTATTTTCTTGAGGTAATTTTCCATTATTTTGGGAGATTTTAACGGTTTTTTCGTGTGCCCAATTTTTGGTGGTCTACACATATTTGAGAACTTTTGAGGTGGATAAAAATTAATGATTTTTAGAGGTTTTGGGCCCTTTTCGGTTGTTTGCTTTTGGGCAAACAGCTAAATTTGTAAGATTTTGTCTTGTTTTTTTAAGACGTCAAATGTCCTGGCCCAGAGGTAATATTTTATATACTACTTTCGTGTTTTAATTTTTGTAATTTTAAATGTTCCCAAGAAAGTTTGAGTAAAATTTCAAGTCTTTATATTCTTATATTGATACCTCAAAATTCTAACTTTATCTCAAAATATTTAAGATATATTATTTCTTAAGCATCTCAAAAAAGCGGTTTTTATTAGTATCATACTCCAATTATCTTAAATCTTAACTTTTTTTTTAGGAATTCTAAGAGTTTTCTTTTCACTTCTTTTGATTTTAGATAGGTATTTTAAGACTTTGCCTTCTTTCAAAATCTCAAAATCTTTTCCTCAAAATTTTACAAAAGCAGATTTTTACTAGCTTAATTTTACCTGGTTCAAAAGGTCAATTTTTTTTTAATGAAATGACAATTTCAAAGTAGGTATAATTTTCTATTGGCAGTACAAACAATTATTAATGACTACCCGGTATCAATCCCCAGATTGAGTTTACAAGTTTTTATTTTTGATTTTACGCCAAAATTGCAAAGGAAAAACAATTTTTGTGTCACCTGAAACGAGCATAATTATACATTTATGGACATATCTACATATTACATATGGAATACATAGAAAAAATTTACAAATAATCGAACAATCGATATTGATAAGATTATAAATGTCATAATTGTGTTACCAACCTATCATGCTTTTCCTAAGCACGCTTATATTATGTAAGTAATAAGATATTAAGAAAATATTAGGAGTACTATATTCATATTTTTCTGGTTTTAGTATTTGCATTTGACAATATAACTTGCTTCTTTTACGATACTAAAATCATCGGTGGATATGAGGTCAAAAATAGATCAGATTTTGCTTATCAGGTTTGCAAAACCTTTATTAATCATCAACCACACCAATGTCTTGCAAAACCTTTATTAATTATCAACCACACCAATGTCATCTATTATTTCCAGGCTTTGCTTCTCTACAAAAACGCACCTTATTGTGGAGGAACAATAATTGACAAAAAACACATTTTAACAGCTGCTCATTGCTGCAAGTCCCAGGAAGACCTGAATCTCTCAGAAATGACAGTTGTTATAGGAAATTTGGATTTATACTCCTATGATAAGCCTTGCGTCAAAAAAGTCCAAAATATTTTTATTCACGAAGAATTTGATTTGAGTACACTAACAAACGACATAGCTGTGATACGAGTATTTTTCACTAGATATAACTTCACGCTTTTAATATTTTTATAGCTTGTAGATAATCTCGAATTTTCGAAAGACATTCAGGCTATAAACTTAACAATAGACCACTTAAGTTCTGGCAATTGTAACGTATCAGGATGGGGAATCAAATTTGTCGTAAAAATGTTCTAATTTTATTTTCACAGTAATTACTTCTTTTCACAGGAGTCGAACATAATGAATTCAAAGTTACTTTACGCCGATGTACCTATAGTTGAATGGAACTCATGCAAAACTATTTTAAAATTGGAATTAGGAGAAAATGAAATTTGTGCTGGAGGAAATACAAAGGATTCCTGTCAAGTATTTTTGAAATTATTTATTTATTGTTTGTCATTTTTAATAACTTAGGGAGACTCGGGGGGACCTTTAGTGTGCTCTGGACAATTAACAGGAATTGTTTCGTATGGTATATCCTGTGGGATTCAAGGTAATCCTGGAGTTTACACAGAAGTGGCTAAATACACAAAATGGATCGAAGAGCAAAAAACAAGATCAGCAAGCCCAAAAGAAGAAATTAATTTAGCACTATTTATAATGCTATTTCTTGGAGTTTTTGCTAATTTGTGACGATAAAGTTTGTAGAAACCTGTAGATGTTTTGTAATTGTAGTATTTCATAATAAAATAAAACAATTTTATTTGTGAAGACAATATCAATTTTTGAAATTTTTTTATTGTATGTTTATTGACTTTTTCTTTTTTTTCAAAAATTATTAAGTGATCATTGCAGTAATTCGTGAGTAACCAGTGATGCAAGGGCAATTTAGTTTTTAGCAGTTTTCATTAAAGATAATCCCTGATTTATTGCTTTACAAGGAAGCGAACAGATAAAATTTTTAGATATATATAAACTAGCTAAACAAGTCTACTTTGTGTAAATCGTATTTGGCCTTAAACTGAGTGATATTACCACACAAAACAACTTCTGCTGGTAAAGCATTCCAAATATCAAAGACCCTATTAGTTATGAAAAATTGCCTTGCACTTGTACGGAAATTATCCTTGGATAGCTTAAAAGAGTGCTCTCTGGTACGTCTGTCGGGATGCAAAGGGAAGAGGTGTCTTATTGGCGAATAAACATTTTTTATAGAACAGAAGGCTGTTATCAAATCACCTCTTCTACGTCTTGCCAATAAGGTAGGTTACTCCATAATTTGAAGCCTTTTGTCATAATGCGGTCTCATAAGACGACCAAAGGGAATTCTCGTGGCGCGACGTTGCACAGCTTCCAAGGAATCTATATCTCTTTGGATCATGGGAGTCCATGCACTGTTTGCGTACTCCAGAATAGGCCTCACATACGTTTTATAAAGTTTGGCAACTACAACAGGTTTTGAACCAGAAAACATTCTACCAATGAGGTAAACAATTTTGTTTGCCTTTCTGATAACATTGGCAGCGTGCACAGACCAGGAAAGGGTGGATGTAACTGTAACACCCAAGTCGAGAATTGAGTCTACCTGAGCTAACTCGTTGTTAGCCATAAAATAAGTGTGCCTTGGATTTTTTGACCCTAAATATAACACAGAACATTTTTTAACATTAAGCGGAAGCATCCATGTGTCAGACCATTGACACACCGCCGAAATATCTGCTGCCAGGATGCGTTTTCACTGGTATTGTAAATTTTTACATCATCGGCATACATTACACAGCGAGATGACAAAACGTTTTTCAAATCTGCAGTAAACACGATAAATAGTAAAGGCCCTAACACGGAACCTTGAGAAACACCACTCAAAACCTGGAAAGAACCACTTGACCATTTATACCATAATGTTGCAATTTATACAACAAACGTTTCTTTGGTACCCTATCAAATGCCTTTGAAAAGTCAAGATAGACAACATCCACACAGTTTCCCGCATCCAGGTCCTTAGTTTCCCAGATATAAAACCGTGCTGTTCTAACGGTATTATATTACAAAGTGTGAAAAACTTAACCATTTCACCATAAACGATGGATTCCATTATTTTAACAACTAAACTAGTTAAACTAACTGGACGATAGTTCTCTGCATCAAATTTATCTCCTTTTTTTATAAATTGGTCTAACTAGTGCTGTTTTCCAATCATTCGGTAATTTACCGGCAACAAAAGATTGATTCATGAGAATGGATAAGGGTTTGCCTAAAGAATTTGCGCAGTTTCTTAACAGACTAGCTGTTATATTATCTGGGCCTGGAGTTTTTGTGACATTTATTTTCTTCAACTTGTCCAAGACAACTTCTTCGGGAAAGTTAATTATATTGAGCTGCTTGGCGTTAGAATTACTACCTAGTTTTGGTAACGACACGTGTGACTCCTCAACAAAAACTCTGGAGAAAGTTTTTGCAAAAACTTTTGCACACTCCGAATCATCATTTGTAATCTGTCCATTATCGCCTTTAACCTGCAGAGTTTTGACTGGACCCGATAACTTAGAGCGAATGTACTTAAACAAAGCCTTGGGATTTTTTGATTCAGCAATATGCATTTCATACCTAGTCTTAGCTGCTTGGATAATGGAAGACAGTTTATTGGAAAAAGTTCGATGCGCTGCATAATCGTCAGCATGTTTAGTGCGTTTATAGATATACTCTCCACAGCGCTCTCTTTTTCCTATTTTGTCGAATAATGTAGTTATTAATCCAAGGTTTTTTTGACGATCTTTTAATCGTTTTGATTGACGTATTGGAAGAAACCAAACCAGTCAGTGAGTACATTTTTAAAAGAATCCCAATTATGTTCTACGGATGTAACTTTTAGCAAATTATCAATTTCCAATCAATTTCCTTAATTTAAAGTGTGGTAATCAGTAACCGCTTTCAAAAAGCTACTTGTTTTATCCTGAGAGATAAAACAAATCTGAAGACCAATTTTTAGTACTACGTGATCAGATTTACCGGTGGGATCCAAATACTCTAAGTTAGCAAAAGAAGTAGTATCAGTAGTTATAATAAGATCCAAAATTGACGCCTGCTGGTTAAATCTATATCGAGTTGGTTTAGTAACAATTTGATGTAAATGACTGTTCACTAAAAAATCAATAAACAATTGGGAAGGAGCATGAGAGGAGGAAAAATTAGTTAAAGGCCACGTCAAATTTGGCATATTAAAATCTCCAAATAGAAACAACTTATCGTAGGAGTTGTCTAACCTTGTTAGCGATTCAAAAAGGATTTTGTCGTCATTAAAATTAGTGTTTGGAGGCCGATATATGCATCCAAGAACGAATGTTACAGCAGAGTTGCATACTTTCAGAAAAAGTGATTCAACTCCTGGGATATCAGTGTCAAATAAATTTAATTTAAAATTGGCTAAGATGAGATCTGATACATAAATACACACTCCACCACCTTTTCTACTATTTCGATCTTTCCTAAAAATAGTGTAATTGTTTAACGCAACCAAAGCATCAGGTATAACCGAAGACAACCATGTTTCCGTCAGTATTACAAAACCAGGTTTTTCCGAGCAAATGTAAGCAACCCACTCATTATATTTAGCTAACAGCGACGCTACGTTAGAATAGATTATAGTATTAGTAAAATAGTGCGAATCGAAATTAAAAAGAAAACTGCAAATACCTGTAAAAAGAAAAAAAAAACAAAAAAAGAAACAAAACAATGTAGAACTAAGAGGGAATTACTTCAGGATGCATTTCTCGTTTTCTTTCGTATTCTCGAGAGCTTTTTAAAGTTTTCGCCTGATTTTTTTTACACGGTTTTGAATACTCTTATGGGTAAGAAGGGGAAATACATCGTACAACAACACACCTACACCTTCAAAATCATCGGTGTAGGAACGAATAAGCTCAAAAATGTTTCAATTAAATCCTTTGCTGGTGCCAACAGCTCGGATGTTGGGGTTCCACTCTCCGTAGAATCGTAAGACTCAAGTTTGTTTGGTTTGCTGGGCTGAAATACACTAGTCTGCGAGGTACCAGGAAGCGAAGTTTCGTTAACTTGAGAACTATTTTCAGCGGTGATTGAACAATCGCTTGCAAAGTGACCAGATTCTCTACACTTAAAACACACATCATTATAAGATAAAAAGATCCTATAATTTGTATCCTTGACTTTTAAGACCATAGAAGAAGCCAATTCAATAGACTCATCTGGATGAACAAACACTTGTCTTCGAAAATTACAAACATGACTAAATTCCGGAGCTTCACTTCCAAACCCTGCTCTAAAAAACGACATCGGATAGGCTAATGAAAAACCTAATCTTTTAATAAGAGGAATGAGGAATAGCTGTACACTACTAAGAACTACGTACGTACGCCAATCGACTGCGGGAGATAACTTGAAATAAAAACAAGCTACTATCGAATCCCAAAATTGTTATCAGACGAACGGAAAACTAAACTCGACTTTTAAGCAATCACGCAACAATATGAAAAAGAACAAATTTACCACCCCAAAGAGAACATCTTTGGGGAGCAGTCCATCGAAAAGATATGAATTTGTCTCAATAACACCCCTTGAAAATCACTTCAATTCAGGAGAACTTTCGGCACGTTAACACTCGCGATTCGATTTCACTCATATCTCTTCAAAGAGATGTTAAAATTGTTGGAGGGACTGAAGTCAAAGATAGGTCTCAACTCGCCTATCAGGTAAGTAGTACCACGGCCGCGCTGGGTACCACCGACGCATGGGTGCAGTTTACACTTTGCTGCCCCCATGACAATACTTGAAGAACCTAAGTGATTGCAGAATAAAATAAAGTGAAACACTTAATTGACAATAGTCAATAATTCTTCATTTTGTAAGTAAGGTTCGATACAAAATATACATAAAATTTAAACATAAAAATTAACAAATTTAACCAGCCGACAATAAACAAAATAGTACATAACAAAATATCTACATAGGTACATTACTCGTATTTGCAAAAAAAACCTAAGAGTACAAGAAAGTATAATGGCGATATTTTAATGATTTTATATTTGCAAAATCTGTTATAATACTAGAAATACTCAGTTCCTCGCAAACTTTGCTTTCGATTGAAATATATAATTGTCAAATTGTTCAACCGTTCTTGGCTCATTGATGATCTTAAATAATTTTTTATCAAATTTAATTTGGAAAAGCTTCGTTCATCTTCAGCCACCATTACCGGCAAGGTTAACAAAATTCTAAACGCAATGGCAGTATTAGGAAAATTGTCGATTAATTCATTTTTGTAAATATACTCCAGTATTTGAAGTAGGGTGGTTATAACATTACTTGTTGCAATTACCTCTAATTCATCCACTAAATCGAGCACCTTAATGTTTTGTTTTAATTCCCGTCAGTTATTAGCTTTAGTTGAAAATCTGTGCAATATTTTATTCGGGTATTTTTATCATAATAATTGAAATCATATATGATATAGGAAAGAAAGTTAAAAATGCATTATACATATTTTTTTATTAAATTGAACCTTTCATTTAACGACACAATCGCGGTATCTGAAAAATAAAAATTAACTTTAAAATTTTTTTCGAGAACTGAAATTGGTTCATCACCATGTTTATAAACAAAAATTCTCTTTTTTGACCTCTTTCTAATGGTAGAAGCTTATGGAAAGTTTGGTTCAGTCTCTAAATCTGCAGCTATTTCTTTTGCAGTTACGAGTACTTCGTCAAATTCTCTCTCTGACTTTTTTGTTTCTAAA